ATGTAATCTTTACTTTTTTAGATATACAACTAAAGTCAATAATCCTGCTCAATGTCTCTAGGTACTTAAGGGATTATTAATAATTATTCTGCAATTGTTAATTGATTGCTGATTGATTTGCTGTCTCAGCACATTAACTATTAATTGAGGTTATTAGCTCAGAGATTTCGAAACAATACGTAGTCGTAAATATTATTTGCGTATTATTTGTTTATTCTATTCAATGTAATTGTGTAAATATTAATTTTAGTTAAGTTTGGCATATTAGAACCGTCTAAAATAATAGAGCTTGCTTTGTTTAAAGGCATATTGGGGTCTATATATTATGTAGAAATTTATATAATAGTAGAAAAAGACTTGTGTATAACAATTTTATATTGATGATTTAAGTAACATCAAAATTGAGATTTATAGACCGATTACACAGAATTCACCAATAGAATAGTACGTTATTCTTTTGCATCTGCTCGAAGCCTGGAGCCTCGTTTGTTTTTTTAACATAAGACAAATATTTTTTGTAATTTTACTGTTGTTGTGGAAAGTTACTATGTAGCCCCGATGGCTTGCAGAACAAGTGGTGGGGAGTTGTTCCTGGTTGCTGCGGCGCGCCCGCGGAGCCGAGTCGCGCGTGCGATGCGGAGCGGCGTTCGCCGGCCGCGCTGCTATCCGCTCCGCGTCTACCTTGCGCCACACCCCTTCGACCGCCGACGTCAGTATACACTGATACAGACGACATATTTGGTGATTATGCTATAAGGATTTTGTTTACTTTTATAATTTTAAGTTTTTTATCTATACTTCTATACTAATATAATAAAGCGTAAACACACACTTCGCTGTTGCCTAAGATGACAGCAATTACAACATATTTTTGAATAATTGTTTTTTTTTTAATAAAAAGCCCTACACTTACGTCACTCTTTAGGCTTTATATTTTACGCCTTTAAACTTAGGGGGTAAATATTTTGGATAAAATTCTTAATGTTGAAAAGACCATAAGTTGCTGCTAACATCAAAGAAGCAAGATTGCCATAGTAAGGTAAAGGGTATTTTACCATTTTCAATTAAGAATTTGACAAATGTAAACCGTAAAATAATGTTTTTATAACTTTTAGTTGAGGATGAAGCCGCACGGGAACATCTAGTACTTTTATAAGGAGATTTGTAGGTTTGTAATGAATAACCCAACTCCTTGACCGATTTCAAAGAATCTGTGACCACCAGAAAGCTACTTAGGCTATTTTTAATGTTGTTATAAAATGTTTAATAAGATACCACGTGGAAAGCCAAGACGGGATGCCAGTGATATAAGGATTGCAAAAAATATCATAAAATATGATGTGTTGCAGTGAAAATATGCTTATACTTTATTATCAGATACCAGGGGCCCTTAATTTGGTTCTCCCGATATAGAATTGTATGTTAATGGGCTGTCATCCATGATGACTAAGATGGAATACCCTGTTGCCAACAATTTAGAGCAAGAATGCATTCTCTAGCATCACTTAGCATATTCTGTCCTAATTTTACGCATCACGGTGTTTTATGTACCTTCATTAGAACTATGTTAAATTAGTTAGTGTTATTTAATTAAGAAGGAAATTTAAAAAAAAATAAAATTGGATCGTTATAAAGCAAGGCCTACTTTTACCCCTAATTAAAAATATGCAAATATCCTTTGTGTGTTCGCATTCAAGATGGTATTATTTTTGGCAATAAAGACAAAAAGGTTGTCTAAATAACAAAATTCATATTAATTTAGTAATTAACAACTTTTAACTAAAAAGTTTGCTTTTATCCTCGAGTTTCGTAACTAATTACGTACAAAATTTAGTATGAAAACATTTTAATGAGTTTGAAACTCATTATTTTACTTTGTAATTTTTTTTAACTAATGTAACGACGCAGTAATTGATGAATTAGTAAATTAGTAGTCGAACAAAACTACAGGAAACAATAGCTCCAGCTTACTTCGGTTGTAAAAACATAATTACCAAAATAACTCCACTTTCGCATGAATAGAAAACGGTGCGCAAGCGCATAGTAGTCCCGCTTAGCTTTCGGTACGTAGAATTTGGGATTTATTCGACCCCTAGCTACCTGGCACCCCCACTACTCCAGCCCCCTGTTGATTCCCTTTCCCCTTTGTCGTTTCATTTCATCCCCAACGCTCTACAATGCGCGGACGCAGTTTAACGTACCCGAAAAGTGAAGTGATGTATTTGAAAATTATAACGAAATATTGTTTGTGATATTAGTGTTGTGAATATGTATATATGTAGTTAAATATAGTGTGATTGTATATAAACATGGATCTCTCTCTGCCGAGGATTAAATATGAAGCTGAAGATTATTATGACGATGAGTTTGATTTGCTAGAGGCTGAACTGTAAGTTATACGTACATATATGCCTATAGGATTATACATAGATATTTGTATTAGACCAACAAAGGGGATGTATACATGTAGGATTTTTCAAATTATTGTTTGTTACAATAAGAATTGCATCAAAAAACGCTAATGCTTGTGATTTGAAGTATATATTTTTCCTTGTCAATTAAATTAATGTAAATCATAAATACCATGTATAAAGTTAGTTTAAACAATAACGTCATACAATATGTTTAAGGGCTAAGATAAAAAAAAAACAGTTAATTACTTCTTATTTACTTTTAGTTCTTATAAATTGTAGATAAAGCATTTTAAAATGTTTGTACTAAATCGCTCAAAATCTTTGCAACAAACTGTACGAGTAACAGGTTGCAAAACCAAACGATTTTTTTGCTCAACAAACGTTTACCATAGAAGAAATTTCCGACCGCGTCCGAGCAAAACATTCGTGTCCATAAAAAATGCATTCCTTTTGCTTGATTCTACAAACGAGCCGCAGCTGCAACTTGTATAACTTTTTTACCGATACAAGTATTTTGTACCTTATGTAATAAATCTAAATTATGAAACAATGGTTTACACAATATTACTCGTGCGCCGCTTTGCCGATGGCTGTATGACGTCACGCGTTAACCGAGTAACAGACGGGAGCGCGACGCGGTCGAATTTAGTAGAAGTCATCGGCAAACTTGCGCACGATTTATTCTAACAGTCTTACGATAGCAAACAATGCTGTCTCAATTCTGTCAGAATGAATATGCGGGATGATATATTTTTGTTTTACTCTCTCTGCAGTGGAAACCGATGCTTAAACATCTTGCGACAGATACTTCTCTTATGATTCATACACTGCGTGGTTAAATACCATACGTAATTAGTAGAACAACGTTTTATGCGAGTGTTTACAGAAAGGAAGGTATTTGCTCTGTTATGTTTACCACGGCGCTGTATAACAGTGCATTTACACTGCCGGAACATTCACGAAAATACATGTTTTGTTCTTTCATTCCGTCTCTCCTTCTTCAAAAATCTGAAAACACAACAATCTTGTTTAAGACCATCAATATCATCTTGCCCTTATCCCTAAGGAGGTTCGGCACAGTATGGGCTGCTCTTCCATAAATCTATATCAGCCGTCATATCTGTATCCACTCCCTTCATAAGCATATCCTCTTTCACACAATCCATCCAAACTTTCTTCTGTCTTCCTCTACCTTTGTAGCCACACAACAAGCTTGTATAGGACCCATATTTAATTTCAAGTTACTGTGTAGTGAATATTGACTGCTTGGTTTTCATTATTTCCTCAAGGCACTAGATACTGGCAGGAAATAATTCACTTGTGTAATTAATCATTTACAGTACTCAATGGTCACGTAACTAAAATTTAATACGTGAGTAGTAAAATTACAAATATTATCACGTAGACGGCATTGGACAAATAAAATATCTAACTGTTTAGTTTAGATGAAATGTCTAGTATTATATTGTTAAAAATAATTGGCTCCGTTATTATTTTGTGATACAGTAACTGTCTATGGTTTGATATCAATATTTGATCCTAGAGATCGATCCGAATATTCAATTACCTTTGTAAGAAACGGAGTACAAAAATAACAATCTAACGCATGGTTTTTTCCTAATGCGATCATCAGGTCATTTAATTTTGTGAGAAATAAAAAATAAATGCTCTAGATAAGCAAATTTGTTTCGAGATAGAATATTGATTAGGGCCGTATAAGAAACAAATTAGTTTGTGGGCGCCTGTAATGTTAACGGGTATGTGGGTTTTTGCTGGCGGCTCACTATGTCGCGCAGATTGCATTGGGAATTGGGAGCCCTATGTAGCACATTATGTATGTTACTTTGAATGCTTTTATGACCCTTATGTAATTTTGAACAGTCTTATGTACTTCTCATTAGAGAGAAAATAATAGAGTAGTCTATTTATTTCTGATATTCATTTGTTTTATTGGTACCGACAACATACTGTTTTTAATTGATTTTACAAATTGATTAGATTATAAAGAAAAGTAGAAATGCGATATTATTTTATGTTTTGATCCAAGAAAATATCTTTGATTTTTAAAAAAGAAGATACGAATGTCTACGTTATATTAAAAACCAGGTCGACCAATTTTCCAATATGCGTATATTAATATCAAAGCTTGTTTTGTTCAGTGAGCTGTAGACTTCAGTAGATGAATATATTTAGTACACATAAATCGTCCTATGATTATTCGCATGTGTAATGTAATAAGGTATTCATGAGTTATTTATTAGACATTACGCCGGCCTTTGAAATGTATTCCCGCGATATTCTATCTTCATCAATATTTCTCAACATTAGTGATCGATAGTACATACTTGTGAGATCGTATACAACATTGTCTGAATTGTAAAGGTTGAAATTTATTAATAAACACATCTTGAAATTAGATTACCTTCTATTTATGTGTTTAACATGGACTTTTTACTCATTAAAGTATTCAAATTATAAAGCTAAAGTATCAAATAAAGTATGTTATCGTTATATCTCAAAACGATATTTGTAGTGATGTTTTTTTTTTATAATCAGAAGATAATGTTAATATTTTTATTGTTGCAGTGTGGGAGATAGCAGCGATCACTTGGCAGGCGGGAGTGGGCAGGGCGCGTGCGTGGGCGCCGCAGGGGGCGCAGGCGAAGTCGCGGGGGGAGGCGGGCGCCACCGCGCGGCGGCGGTCGCAACGACGACGGCGCACAGCAAGCAGCTGGCGGCGGGCGGGCCCAACCACCCGCCCCAGCCGCAAGGTAACAAACGTAATGTCAATATTGTTTGTTAGCCCCTCTCCCTGCACACTGCACATGCGAAACACAGCGTCTACACACGAAACACAGCTCATAAATACGTAACTCAACTTGTACACACGAAACACAGCTCATAAATACGTAACTCAACTTGTACACACGAAACACAGTGTGCATACACAATAAAGTCAAAAACAAAACACACCGTGTAGACACTGCGAATGAAACCAACATCAACGTGCACATAATGTGTATTTTTATATTACTACTTTAGGTTTTGGTTTACTTAATTTTTTGAAATAATAAACAAAAACCTAGCTTAATACACATTATGTACACCACATGTCCATTAGTTTTTAATTTGTTTAATTACTTTTAGTTACGATTTTCGATCGAGACTTATTTCTAAATTGATTTTGACCAAAAAACTTATTAAACAGCCGGAGTATTCTGGCTTAGTTAAACTCTAGATCGAATTTCAAAACATTAATTTTTTATTATTAGCTGAAATATTCCCTAATTTTTATACATCTTTGTAATGCCATGTTTGCATGATTCATGATAATCTAAATGTTTTTAAGTTTGCATGAATAATAGTTGAATTCCAGTCGTGATATATGTCCTCAAATTCTACTGTCATTCTTATAAAGAAATCACTTTACTCTGCTTTCATATTATTGACTTCATTTCAAATTATCTCTATTCCAAATTTCATCTACATCCTATAGTTATATGGTGACAAATGCTCATCCATCAATGCATCCAAACTGTTGTAATTAAGATTTTATGTGAAGAAATAGTCTTGACGTGACGTGACGTGATAGGATAAAAATAATGTAGCGTGTAATATAAGTAGTGCATACGTAACGTGTGTTGTTCCGTTTGTTCTCGCATGCGGCGATGCGGGCGCAGGGTCGGGCTGCGGCGGCGATGGAGACTATCAGCTGGTGCAGCACGAGGTGCTCTACTCCTCGTCCAATAGGTCAGTATCACATTGTAATGATATGTACAATTGGGGAAACTGGTGGTGTTCCAAGATATCAGCTACGATAGTTTGAACATTTTACATGACGCGGAACAGAAAACAATATAATGCAGATTTTAAATGTGTCTATGACAAAAAGTCGGTTAGTGATACATGGTATTTTTATTATGATCTCTTCGTTTGCACCACTCACTGCTATCTAATTGGTTACTTGTAGGAAGAGGAGTTTCACTCTTTGCAATGAATAAGACAATTTTTAAGTGGATCACCGTGGCTTGTGCCGACTGTACCTTAAATTCTATTATGTCATCAATTGATTTGCAGAGATATGTTATACTATAATTGGATTATATAAAAAACACATGCAGCCTTAATAGAGGCCTAAGAACTTTAGTTTCTTTCATAGATTACCGTAAACTTTGAAGCTGGAATTGTTTCCTCACTACCATTTTAATTTGTTATTTATAATTTCGCTTATTCAATGTTTAAACGATACGTTCCAGGTACGAGGTGTTGGAGTTCCTCGGGCGAGGTACGTTCGGGCAGGTGGTGAAGTGCTGGAAGAAGGGCACCAATGAGATCGTCGCCATCAAGATCCTCAAGAACCACCCCAGCTATGCACGCCAAGGACAGATTGAGGTGACAAGCAATATAATCATACTTGTTTACACTTTTTTTTTCAAAGATTCAATATTTTTGTCTCTAAATTTTACTAGGCTAGTTGTATACCCCCCTCTTGTAATTTTTTTTTTGAAGACTCAACTTTATTTTCTGCCAACATCCATCTCCGCTCAGATCTTAGACCTAACCTAGTTCTTTCGTAGAATCATTTTAGTTATCTCTACTGTTAGTATTGCTATATTTAAAGTTGTTCCTGAAGATATAATTAACACACAGTTATTCTGGCAATAATTCAACGTAATTTTAAAGTATTACTCTAAAAATAAACTTTAAAACACCTTGTTCAAGATATTTTGAGCTCGTAAAAGAATTCCCACAAATCATCGGACAGAAGCGCAGTTGAACGGAGCACTTATTAAAAACACCTTAATCTCGGTATAAATTACAGTCGCAACGCCGTTTCTTTTCTATTTTGTGAAGTTTTCACAGAAACTCAGCCCTGGCGAACTTCCAATTATACGATGTTTTTGTTTGTTTGCTGGAGTGCTGTAACGACGTATCCGTGGATGAAAGCGGGACGCTCAACTATCGAGTTTCTATTGGGAAAGAAAATAAAATATTGCTTTGTTTTGCAAAGATATAACAATTCACACGAAATGATTTATCAAGTGGATGTTTATATTCGAATTTTATTTGATGTAGTAAAAGTATAGGTTATAGCTTTGTGAGTCATGATTGTTATCTAAATAAGTATTAAGATTATATAAAGTTATAAATTATATATGTTGTTTCATATAATTTGGTAGGCTCAGTATTTTTTACTAAGACAAGGGATCAGTGGAGTGGATGCACAAAGTTTCTTTTATTTTCATTTATTTGTTTGTATAAGAAAAAATATACAATGACTAATAAAAGTCGCCAGACTGCACAGCAGTTTGTTGGTGACAGACATCCATCTATACTAATATTATAAAGAGGAAAGATTTGTATTTATATGTATTGAAATAACTCATTAACTACTGGGTCGATTTTAAAAAATCTTTCACCATTAAAAAGCTGCGTTATCAGTAACATAGCCTATATTTTTGATATTTTCTATTATCATGCAGGCGACATCACGAGCAACAACTAGTTTTTTATATGTACCTTACAAAGACATCTATCTATACTATTATAATAAAGCGTAAACACACACTTCTGTGTTGCCTAAGATGTCAGCAATTGCAGCATATTTTTGAATAATTATTGTATTAATAAAAAGCTCTATACTTACGTCACGCTTAAGCTATATATTTTCACGCCATTGAACTTAAGGGGTAATTTTTTTGGATAAAAATCCTAATGTGGGAAAGAGAACATAAGTTGCTGTCAACATCAAGGAAGCAAGATTGCCAAGATCTGTCATGTCATTTTGACATTTGCTATTGATAATTTGACAAATGTAATCGATAAAATAAAATTTTCACAATTTCATGCGGATGAAGCCGCACGGGAGCAGCTATTTTAAATATATAGACGAGGAATAGTGAACAAAGTTCCCTCGCCGTTATGTTCCCTAATGGTTAACATTTAACGCGTTCCCTGTTTAATTCACTATTAAAAGTAATAGTTCGTTTTGTTAAAATGTGTTTGCCGTGTCAGGTGTCGATCCTGTCGCGGCTGTCGCAGGAGTCGGCGGACGAGTTCAACTTCGTGCGCGCGTACGAGTGCTTCCAGCATCGCTCGCACACCTGCCTGGTGTTCGAGATGCTGGAGCAGAACTTGTACGACTTCCTGAAGCAGAACAAGTTCTCGCCGCTGCCGCTGAAGTACATCAGGCCAATACTGCAGCAGGTCCTCACCGCGCTGCTCAAACTGAAGGTCTGCAATAATCTGTACTAATATAATAAAGCGTAAACACACACTTCTTTGTTGCCTAAGATGTCAGCAATAACAGCATATTTTTGAATCATTTTTTTTTAATAAAAAGCCCTAAACTTACGACACGCTTTAGGCTATATATTTTCGCGCTATTAAACTTAGAAGGTACGTAAATTGGGAAAAATCCCCCTATGTGGGAAAGGGACCATAAACTAGAAGCTGCCAATATTAATGGAGCAAGTTATTAAAGCAACGGTATTTTTTATATTTTCAATTGAGAATTTGATAAATGTAAACGAAAAATATTTTTTTTTTATAATTTCATGTTAGCTGCATGGGAACAGCTAATAATTGCATATTTATGTCGTATAAGTAATTTGGTAGAGATTTCTTTCCACTTTTCTCGTTAGTCAGTAAATTAATCCATGTTTTGTCGTCACTTTGGCTCTGAATCGCATCAAGTTTTAAACTATCTTATTTAGTTGTCCTTTCTACTGTATAAAATATTTTCATCAAAAATTGTTTGGTTGAAACTGTCAAGATTTCCACTAGTTATGTCACTGTTAGTCGTTGTAAAGCATTAAATACAAAAGTAAAGCCAATAAAATAAAAAGTAATGTATGTAAACTGTTGTTGTATATGTTTTTAATATGTTATAACAAATTGCAGCAACTGGGGCTGATCCACGCGGACCTGAAGCCGGAGAACATAATGCTGGTGGAGCCGGCGCGGCAGCCCTACCGCGTCAAGGTGATAGACTTCGGCAGCGCTTCGCACGTCAGCAAGGCCGTCTGCAACACATACCTGCAGAGCAGATACTACAGGTATGATAGTATGTACTATCAGGTAATCTGCCGGTGTACCACTTATAAAAATACATTCGGTTGAACGTTTCGTACGCTTTAAGACGACGGAACAATAACTAATTAACTTTTAAAAGTGTTTGTTTGAAAAAAAAAGTTGGTCAATAGTACGCGGCTTTTTATAATTATCCTGTCGTTAGCGCAACTGACTCTTACCTACCATGAGTATAGCATGGTGCGGGTGACAGTTTCAGTAACGTTTCGTTTAACTCTTGAAAGTTGTAGTGATTAATAAATTATGTTAAGTATTTCAACTGTACCACATTCTTAATATATTAAATCTATACTTATATTTTAAAGAGGAGAGATTTGTAGTTTTGTTTGTATTTGAAAAAACTAATGGGCCGATTTCAAAAAATATTTTACTATTAAAAAGCTACGTTACCACTGAGTAACATAGGATATATTTTTTTTTAATTTCACCCGTTGTTGCGGACGAAGTTACGAGAAACAGCTAGTATTAATAACTGTAGCAGTCTAGTACAGAGATCAACTTAATACAGGCATCTGTCACCGCACATAGTATAATTATTTGTTATATATGGTGGAGTTTAGTTAATTGCAAGTAAATATTCGATTTTTCTATAAATGTGACACCCCGGGATATCGCGACTGTACTTTCGTACTAGTCTCAAGTACAATAATGAACTGTGATATTCCAGAGCACCGGAGATCATCCTGGGGCTAGCGTTCTGCGAGGCCATCGACATGTGGTCGCTGGGCTGCGTGGTGGCCGAGCTGTTCCTGGGCTGGCCGCTGTACCCCGGCTCCTCCGAGTACGACCAGATACGATACATCTCGCAGACGCAGGGCCTGCCCACCGAACATATGCTCAACAGGTAATACTCAACACTCAACACTCAATACTCAACACTCAACACTCAACACTCAACACTCAACACACTACACTCAACACTCAACAAAATTAGAGAGAAAAAGTAATGGAATTCAAAGGAAAGATTAATTTTTATTTCTTCATTAGGATTAAGAGGCATGGTTATTTATAGTAATACAGATGGCACTACAGTGAAGTCTCTTAGTTATAGTGGTTTTTTAACATACTAGTTTCCCCCCGTGATTTTATCCGCGTGGAATTAATATAAAAACAAAACTGAGTAACCTATGTGTTCTTCCAGAGTATCCTTTACATTTAAGCCAAATTTATCGAAATCCGTTCACCAGTTTAGGCTACAAACTCCATCCATCCAAACTTTCGTATTCAATATATTAGTAAGACTAGTAAGATGTTATAAAATGTGTATTGGTTTGTTTCAGCGCATCAAAGACTGCGAAGTTCTTCTACCGCGACGTGGACAGCACGTACCCCTTCTGGCGGCTGAAGACGCCCGAGGAGCACGAGCTGGAGACCGGCATCAAGAGCAAGGAGGCCCGGAAGTACATCTTCAACTGCCTCGACGATATAGGACAGGTATATACATATATGCATGCTAGTATTATAAATGCAAAAGTTTGTAGTCTGAACGGCTAAACGGATCTAGATGGATTTTCGCACAGATGTAGAATATAATCTGGAAGAACACATAGGCTACTTACTTTTGTTTTTTTTTTTTTAATTTTTTGCGGACGGAGTCGCGGGCAAAAGCTAGTATATACAGTTAAATTATTTCAAATTTTAAATACATGAATGAATATTATTTTGTAAAAAAAAATAATATAAAATGAAAATAGATTTCCAAGACAATAATTTTTTGTGTTTTGGTGTGATTTTTAAGAAAGCTTGGAAAGTACTGTATAGTTTTTAGTTTCGAAGCTAATTCATGAAACAAAAAAATATATCACGTAAATCAAGACCTAAATAGTAGTGTTTTAAAAAAATGTATATTTTATATTATAATATTATCTATTCTGCAGGTGAACGTGCCAACGGATCTCGAGGGCGGCCAACTGCTGGCCGAGAAAGCTGACAGACGAGAATTTATTGACTTATTGAAGAAAATGCTCACCATGGACCAGGTTAGTTATTACCTAAGAAATTATTATAAACAATAAGAAAATTCAAACAAAAAAGATATCATCACATTAGAATAATTAAAATTATGTATAAGAGGAAAGATTTGTATTTTTTTATATATTGGAATACCTCAAAAACTACTGGGCCGATTTTAAAAATTCCTTACCATTAGAAAGGAAATTTTTCTGTGAGTAACAGAATAGGTAATGGCTATATTTTTATTAATAAGTCTGTTACGAATTATAATGTTTATTTATAAAAGTGGTCGAGCGCCGGGTTCGTAAAGACTCAAGGCCTGTCTCATAGAATTCAGGGATATTTCCTTGTGCTACAGTTATTTAGGACCTATATTTGAATACTTTTGAATTAATAATATTTGTTTTTATTTATAGGAGAGACGAATAATGCCGGGCGAGGCGCTGAACCACGCGTTCGTAACTCTAGCGCACCTCGTGGATTATGCGCACTGCAACAACGTCAAGGCATCGGTGCAAATGATGGAGGTAAATATTGTCTGCTTTTTCTATATATACTAATGTTATAAAGAGGAAAGATTTGTATTTTTGTATGTATAAAATAACTCAAAATCTACTTGGCCGATTTTAAAAAATCTTTTACCATTGTAAAGCTACCTTGTCGCTGAGTGATATAAGCTATATTTTTAAATTTCACGTGTGCGAAGTCGCGAGAAACAGATAGTAATACATAATACTAATATTATAAATGCGAAAGTTTAGATGGATGAATAGATGGATGTTTGTTAGAGTTTGTAGCCTAAAGGCTGAACGGATTTCGATGAAATTTGGTATAGATGTAGAGGATAGTCTAGAAGAACACATAGGCTACTCACCTTTGTTTTTTTTAATTCCACGCGGACGGAGTCGCAGGCGAAAGCTAGTAATAAAATAATTTAGTTTTACTTATTCAAGTCAGATTTACAGGTCAATACGAATTAAATGATTGTTTTATTTATTTGTAAAGCGAATATGTTTTAGTGTGAAAAAGTTCAGTAAATGATTTTTTTAAAGTAATTATGATGTCTGGTTCACACTTGGTCATTAACGCCTAATAACTGGATTGGTTAAAAACAGGCACAGTGTAAACGCACTGGCATTAGCGAGACCAAGCAATCTATGTGGAATTGTGAAACGGGTGTAATGTCAATAGTGTTTTACAATAGCGGAGGCTAGGCATGGATTGTATGGACTTACGGGCGCGAGTAGTGTAGTGTAGCTATATGTTTGCCAGTCAAGTCATTTAGCGCTACTATTCAACTGTCCTAGCCAAGTGTGAACCAGGAGTAAATAGTTATGTTCGTCCAGGTGTGTCGTCGTTCAGGCAGCGTGGGCGGAGTGGGCGGCGTGGGCGGCGCGGCGGAGTACGGCGTGGGCGTGGGCGTGGGCGGCGTGGTGGCGCCCGCCCCCGCCCCCGCGCCCCACCACCTCGCACTCACCATCAACCAGCAGCGACTGCGCGCCGCGCCTTACGACAACCTGGTGAGTGTACACTAAGAGCGAATGCACTTCTCCGACTAAACTATCGCACTGTTTAGTCTCGCTTTGATTTCTATGAGCTTTTGAAGGTACACTATTCGATTTTTAGTTGTGCAACTAAATAGAATTGGCTGCGAAATAATAGACAACCGCACAGTTGTGCGATTATTCAGTCAAAGGTATGGATCCTCTCTAAATGTGCAGTTTTATAGCTTTTTATAATGTTTACGATGATTATAGTTTTATATTAATAACATAAAGTACGGTTATTACAATGTTTTTTGTCTCTTATAATTTTAGTTATGTTAATGTTTTTAAATTTTAATAAAATTATAAAGTGGAAAGTTTTTCATTTTTATATGTATTGAAATAGTCTAAAAACTACTGAACCGTTTGCAAAAATTCATTCACCATTAAATAGCTACATAATCAGTGGGTAACATAGGCATGTTTTTCGATTACGCAGACGAAGTCGTGATTAGCATCTAGTATTTAATATATCTCTGACTGATTCTCAAATGAGTTGTTATTACATTTTTATTCTTGATTGGTGTTGACAGAAGTCTATAGACAGTCTAGATTTTTTATATAAAAATGACTTTACAGTGTTTTTGAAGTACATTGTGTGTGTGTGTTCAGTACCAGCTGTACCAGGGCGGGCGCGTGGCGGTGGGCGGCGCGCGGCAGTACGCGACGCGCGCCGCGGAGCCCTTCCCGCACCAGTTCGTCTCCTCCATACTCTGCCAGCCCGCCTACCAGGTATAGGCTACTGACACACTACACTACACTCACTCTACATGTACACTGTACACACAGATGTATGTAGGGTTGGGGCGGTAAAACAAACAGCCTTCTTGGTTTAGAGCTTTATTTTTTACCCATCCCTATTTTACAAGACAAAACTTCTTCACTATTTTGTTCTGTCTTATGACACGTCCTTTCTTGCACTCCTTCCTGCATTCACTCCGTCTTTCATACGTCGGTTAAAAAATCATTCACTCTAGTAACAACATTCTTACATCTTCGTTCGGAAACACGCACTCACACATCCCACACTCAGCCTTCCTGCTCTTGTATATGTACATATATGTACAGTCGCGGAAATGCACGATGTTCTACTTCAGGAAGAATTTCCTTGTCCACTGCAAGACAAACACCGCCACACAAATAACTAATTAGATATTGAGTGCAAACGAAGAGATAATAATAAAAGATTAGTCGTGTATCAATATTTTTTTCGTATAGATATATTTATGATCTGAGTTGAATTATTGTTCGGTGTCTCGTGTCAAAATGTTCAAACGATTATAGCTTTTAAGGTGGGACATCACCGGTTTCCCCGACTGTACATTTTAAATTGATACATTAATTGTTAAAATCAGTTTTTATGCAGAAATTCATTAAACTGACTGCTTGTTCCGAATTTAGATTTGTTGATACAGCAGTGTTTTATTGTAAACAAAAGAATTTTGATCAGCAAGAATCTGTTTTGTATTTACGCATTGTCAGTTTCTAAGTAATGTAAAATGTATATCGCTGTCGCTAATACGACCTCGTATTAAGTTACAGAATGAAGTAATCATTTCTATTGAATTTTGTGTAACTTGATGACATTTGCTTAGTATGCAAACAATTATTGAGTGCATGAACATATTTCATTCAGTATTGGTCTATCATTGAAACGATACGATTCAATGGCACATTATCAGTTCAAAGAGGTGTTTTATTCGATGACACATCATCAGGTGCAGCAGTTGGCAGCGGCAGCAGCGGCCGCGGCCGCCGCCCACCACCAGCACGGAGTGGGCGTGGGCGTGGGCGGAGTGGGAGTGGGCGTGGGCGGCGTGGGCGTAGGCGTAGGCGACGTGGGCGAGTGGCGCGCGCCGCTCATCGTGGAGCCCGCGCCGCTGCCGGACGCCGACGTGTGGGACTTCCATCCTCATCATCCGCAGCATCATCACCCTCCTAAAAGGTGAGATAATGTCATCTTTTTAACTTGAAACTTTCTAGATTGTTTGGTTATTCTGTTTTAATTTCTTTAGGAATCGGTTTTCGGAAAACAATAATTTTGCAATAACAAAAATAATAATAAAAATGTAAATAAAAAAAAAACTCCCGTCAAATTAATTTCAAAATGTTTATTATTACTAAATGCGTATTATTGCGCGTATTCTTAGTAAAGTCCAAATTATAAATGTGCGTGCAGAAATAAAATAAGATTGTAAATAGTAAAAAAATCAATATATTTGTTAACGGGCCTATTTGTACGAAATGTGTCTGACATTAGGTATAATTTAGGTTTATAAATGGTTGTCAATGTGAAGTGGCACTTGTTGTAGTGCAGTTAGAGCGTAGTTTTGATTGCGCGCTTGTCGACAGATCAACAAAGCAGCAGGCGAGCGCCGTGCCCCACTACCAGCCGCATCACCAAACGCATCAATACAGGTGCTAAAGAAATCATTATATCTTTAGTTTTTTTTTATATTTCATATGGGCCCTTTATCTACGCGTCTAGTGATATCAATTGCACAGACGAGTTCACTGTCGTTTGTATAAAATATGACTTTTTGTGGTACGTCACTGTTCCGTGTATCTTCGCTAAAAAAATATTTCGCTTTTCAAATAGATGTCGTTTTAAATTTATGGTCTCACAGTTTACTTAAACTATATTGCTACTTATATCACTTAGCACGCACTGTCTTTTTTATGTCATTTTATTTCAAAAACCGTAAACTACAAATTGTTTTTGCTATATGGCTCGAAAAATTAATTTCTCTTTTGAATCCAATAAATTATATCTGAATGTTGTATTACAACGGTCCTTTATTTTATTAGTACAAATTTAAGAGATTGTACGGAAATGTGTCAAATAGATTTCGTTTCAAATGATTTTGCCTCATATTGTATAAAAAGTGCATTTGTATGAAGAAGATGTTTTGTATGTTGTTTGCAGTATGGCGAGCAGTGGCGGTAAGAAGGAGCCGACGCAGCTGTCGCCGGTGAAGAAGCGGGTGAAGGAGGGCACGCCGCCCTCGCGGCACAGGCACCATCACGACCACACGTTAGTATATTTTGTGGATAAATCATGTAATGAACATGTAAAGTAATAACAAAAACATAAGCAAGAAACTCTTGCCGGGAATTTCGTATTCAAATTGCTAAATTACTGTGTGATTTGACCACCGTATCTATAAAACTGGCACAAATTTTATTTACGGGACTAAAATTAGTCTT